GAGGAGGAGGAGGAAGGATGGAGAGAACATAATGAAGAGAACGAGTGAGGAGAGGAGTGAACGCACCCAGAGCAGAGTAATGAATCACATCTCAATTTCTCTCCCCCCCTCTTCACTAATGGTTTTAATATCCAAATGCTACATCATTAAAAATCAGTGGTAGTACAGCAGCAGCAGCAATAATAATAATAACCTAGGCCTCTGATTCAGTTTCAGGTCCCATGGTCCTAATTTTGAAATGGTTTGCCCCTCAGTCTTCACATTTGCGGCACGGGCACAAATACGTAATTACATATCATTGCTTGTTGAATGTGAGGTTGTGAGCTCTGTGGCCCTTTGACGTTGGATGACCAGTTTTTTTGGATTCCATTTGATGCATCGTGTAGAATAACAGATGGAAACACAGTCAATATACACAGTCATCCATTTAAAGCGACAGGAGTAAATTTGCAAATTAATTCTGGTTCGGCCCGTTGAACCTCTACGCCGAGATTTCTCTGTAAAGTCTAAATCCATCACTTCCCGTTAGCGGAAGAAGTGGACACACAGGACGTAATTATGGCAAATCAGCTCCACCGCTTCTCAATTAGCTGGAAGGATTGGGTGTCGTCCGGTGGGAATGGGAGAAGTCGACTAGACTGAGCGTCCAAAGTTTAAGATTGCAGCTTTGAATATGACTTCAGATATTTCCTTTTGTTTATGACGATTAGAAATGTTGCTTGAGTCTGTATTTTATATTTTTAGTGCACAAATTCAATATCTACACAGAATTTGTTATCACGTTTAAAACTACAATACTTTAAATAAATCCCCTTAATACTGGTAAATTTGAATCTTTTTCTATTGGGAGGTAAAATCTTAATCATGATCTGTCATTTAAATAAATTCAAATTACATTTATCATCGTAATTATATTAAAATTAGACTCCAGATTTGCACAAGAAAGAAAATAAAATGAGTTCCCACTATTTTTAACATGTGTCAAAGACATAAATCGTCCTCTCACTTTGTAAAATCTGACAAAAGTGACGTGTCGACGACGCTGATGCCGATGCCTTAGGACAGAGTGGACGGGTGGGGGGGGTATTTTTACTTGTAGTAGCCGAGCGCTCCATCCAGCCAACGAGGAGGAAACAGGAGGTGACACTAGGGGTGGTTGGGGTGGGGTGGAGGGTGAACTGGCCGACTGACCACCCACACACACCCACACACACACACACACACAGCCCCTCCAGACTCGCTGACCAGACTCAACTGATGAGCAAAGTTCTGACAGTGAGGGGGGGATGAGTTAGCCGTTAACCTCCTGAGGAAAACCCACACAGCTCCTCAGTGCAACATTAGGATGCCAACTCTGCAGGGAGCACAGATTCTCAAACACTCCAGCTGCAGAGATTCACTCAAAACTGAGCACAGAACTAATAATGAAACAATTCTCACATTTAAATTTGCTTTTTCCTCATTTCTCATCAGTTTCGGGGCAATAAAATAAATTGATGACATCACTTTGGGCTCTTGGAAACTGTAATAGATATTATTTTTGACGATTAAAAGCTTAAATCGGTTTTTATCAAAATGCTCCAAGCTGTTTTCTCCTCCACCATATTGTACACACATGAGGATTCCCTCACTGTAAGCCTATCCTCCACTGAGACACTCGGTGCAGGCGGAGCGAAACAGAGCGAAGACCCCTGAAAGAACCAAACCTGTCCGTTACTCAAGGCTCCCATCTGCATCAGCTTCAGTTTAAGAAAAACAAGCCGAGTTCCTGTGTATGTAAAGTGGAGGACGACTGTGGTAAGAATGATGGTCTCTCTCTCTCTCTGTGTGTGTGTGTGTGTGTGTGTGTGTGTGTGTGTGTGTGTGTGTGTGTGTGCGCGCGCGCGCGCCGGCTGATGCAGGAATCACGTCCTGAACTGGTTCGAGTGTGATGAATTATTCTGGAAAGGTTAAGCCACATCTGCAAATCACAGATAATGCATTTATCTCTATCTCTAACAACAAATCAAGACCATGGAATCATCTATTTATTTTAAGTATCAATTAATGAATTATTACATTTCATGTTTGATAACCTAACATTTTACCTCCTATTTAAGTGGATTCTTTGGATAAACTCTTGGTTTGTTGCTCGTCTGAATGTTGGAGGTCAAATAAGAAACCGGCTGTTTTAAACCAAATTCATCTTTTAAATAGACTGGTTTAATTCTCTACTTTACATTACGAGAAGTGCATTCCATAAAATAAATTACATTATTCTGATGACAACACATTTTATTATATTTACTTGAACAGAGAGGACAGGATTTATGAAAACTATTTTAAATCCTTAACATAATCGCCATGACTACATTCTTCTATAATCACATCATTTACAAAACTGCCTCGCTGACAGTCAAAAGACACTGTGACGTCCTGATAACACCAGGTTAGAGTCTGACACCGCCGTTAATGATCAAAGACACATTTTGCATAATTCCACGGGACTGACGCATGAACTCCGCTTGCTTGTTTCTGCGACGACACCAGCGTTTCGAGGAACGGAGATATAATTAGAAAGCCTCTGCTTCCGTGCAGTTAGCCTCCATCCCTCGCCGTCTTTGTTCTTGACGGGGGGAGCGGACGGAGAATCGAGGGAGAGGGATAGGGGGGGATTTGAGATACTTAGCAACTGAGGAGATTATTGTGTTTATCGCGCAGCCACGGTAGGCACTTGAACGCATCTCAAACCGTGTCTCCGGAGAGCACGCCATATCACCAAAGACACCCTCGCCCTCCCTCGTGGGAGTTTCTGATCCGCCACCGGCAGGCTGACTCGTACTTTCTCGCCCTCAGCTGTTGCTCTGCTGAATGTAGACATGCAGCCGCCCTCCCCCCAAAAAGGACCTTTCTACCCCCCCCCCGTGTACGACCCCGTGTACGACCCCATGAACTCGCTGACTCCCACCCAAGAGTCACTTGATAAGCTACAGGCTCTGTGTGCACTGTGCAGCTAAACTGGGACCAGAACCTATAGAGAAGTGTTGCTGCAGACATGTGATCGCAGCGTAGTCATTTCTCAAATTCAGAGTGTCGTTGCATTTAGTGGATGAATGTGTGATTATCTCTCAACAAGTCATCACTGCTACACAATGTACACAAAGCAGAAGGCCTCAGAAAGAGACACACTAATATCCCGTGCTGAGACGAGGGGCTCAGTTGGGCGCAGCCTCTGACGGCGGGTTCTTCACCTCACTGTTGTGTGTGGCTTTTCCAGAACTGCTATAAACATGTCTGCCGTTGACGTGATCAGTTAAACATACTGAACTCTTAACCCAAAGCCAGGGTAAATCAAGCAACGTCCAAACGATGAGTTGCAGCCTGTGTGAGAGGCAGTGAAGGCCTCTTCTCCTCTGGGTAATTCTCAGAAATGTTAACACTAACAAATACATCGAAAACCAACATTGTTCCTGGTATGCTGGTATAGGAATGGAACTCTAAGATACAAAGTTTTTAACCGATTTATTTATTTTTGACATGTAGAAAAATGTAGAATATCAACCTTGTACATTCAGTTTGAACAGTTCGGTCAAACGGCAGAGTTACGGCGAGGCGTCTGTGTTAAGTGAAAATCAGCTGTCAAAAGTTTCCGGCGGCTGTAATGAGTCGGCTCATTAATGGAAGACAACACCGGGCTGTCACAGCTTCACAACTCTGTCAGCCTCATGACTAACAACCTGGTTCAGACGCAGCCGCTTCAATGAGCGGGAGCGGTGGGTGGGTGAGGTGGCGGTACATTGTGGTGATTGGATGGCAGCGGAGGAACTACAGTGCATCTCTAATAGAATATCTGGCTCCTGTCTGAGCTACTAAAACTAAAATGGCTGTCTGTGGAAATGAAGACGGTCTGATTGGATTTCTCTGGATTAATCCCTCGAGGAGAGTCCAAGGCGTTAAAGTGCCTGAAACACACACACACACACACACACACACACACACACACACACACACACACAC